TAGTTTCCTTTTCCTAATTTATTATTACTTCATTGACAAAACTTAAATTTAGTAAATGTACAGTGATTGTAACACTCTTCTCTCTCAACCTAGTTTTCCCAGACTGAAAGAAATACTATCACTGTCTTGTCAAACAAACCTGATTTCATTTTTTGAGGAGCCCGTTAAACAAAATGCGTTTTAATACAGCCAAATGCAAAGTTATACATCTAGGAAGAATGACTGCATCCCATACAGAACATTTAGAATGCCTACATATACATATAGGAACATGTCTCCCCTATAGAATAGGAGACTGTATCCTGGAAAGTAGGTATTCTGAAAAGAATTTAGGGATTATAGTGGACAAGCAACTGAACGTGAGCAGCGGGGGTGACACTGTGGCTAAAAGGGCGAATGGGATCCTTGGATGCATATACCAGGGAGTAGTGAGAAGGAGTTAGGAGGTGATTTTACCTGTATATGGCATTAGTGAGAGCACTGGAATACTGCATCCAGTTCTGGTTTCCACAGATTGAAAGAATGTTGAAAACGGAAGAGGGCGAAGAAAAGAGCAACGAAAATTATGTGAGGGCTGGAAAAAATGCCTTGGAGTGAGACTTAAAGAGCTCAATCTGTTTAGCCTATCAAAAAGAAGATTGAGAGGTGACTTGATTGTAGTGTACAAGTACATTCATGGGAGAAAATATTGGGTATTAAAGTGCTCTTGAATCTAGCAGAGAGAAGCATAACAAGAACCAATGGCTGGAAGATGAAGCCAGACAAACTTAAGTTAGAAATTACACATTTAAAAAAAAAGTGAGCATGACTAGTCATTGGAGGAAGCTATCAAGGGAAATGATGAATTCTCCAGATGGCTTCACAAGGGCTGGATACCTTTAGGAACACATGCTTTAGTCAAACACAAATTATTGCGCCTAATGCAGAGGTAACTAGGTAAAATTTAACAGCCTGTGATATACAGGAGGTCAGACTAGATTATCGAATGGTCTCTTTCGGTTTTGAATTTTATGAATCTATGAAGGTTGGTACCTTCAACATCTGAGCTACCTTCTTCTTACATATTTGCAAAAGATATCATGCTATAAACAGCAAGATAAACAATGTTGATAAGAAAAGAAAATAACTCCATGTCAGGCTTCCAGGGTTACTATAAACAGTGAGAAGGAGATATAAACAAATCAACCAAGTAAAAGGACACTATCACTGTAATATTCTTTCCTTTGTTTCCCTACACATATTTATAGAATGTTATGTTCGTTTTTGTCTTAAAAGTCAGAAGTACAATTATGGCATCAATACTATGGATAAAGGAATTACTATACTTAAATGCTTTTATACGTACAAAGACAGATACTGGATGCAGAGCTGTCTCTTGGGTAGGGCAAATTGGGGCGACCGCCCTGGGCCCCGTGCTTTGGGAGGGCCCGCGGACCTGTGTGAGTGGCCAGCACTCAAGACCCCGGGCGCGCGGGGTGGTAGCAGAGCCCCGAGCGCGTGGAGTGGTAGCAAAGCCCGGAGCATGTGGGGCGGCAGCCAGGACCCCGGGCACAGGGACCCCAACTGAGACCCCGGGGGGGTCTGGCAGCCAGGAGCCCGAGGTACTGCAGCCCCCCCGTACCCCTAATTCCTGCGCCTACGGAGGGGGCTGATTTGTCCCGGGCCCCGCACACCTCTACAGACGGCCCTGACTGGATGTTAAATACTACGGACTAACAGTACAACAAAAGCAAAGGAATTCAAAGTTAAACTATCTTGTCTTTTCTTAAAGAGTTGCATTTGCGTCATAGCAAACTTTGAAAAATGTTCTGTTTAGCAATGATGCTCTTTATAGGCTGCAAATTATGTAATTTTCTTCTTCAGCTTTAGTATTATATAGTTATTTTATTAATTGATGTAGATGTACAAAAAGTATGTCTGGTCTATGCTCTATGCACACAAAAAGTTGCAAACAAAAATGTGCAAATAATTACAGACAACGCCCAAAAAATCATTCTCAACCCACCCAGCCCATCCATAATAACTCCCTCCATACACACACTCCCCTTAATCTATTTGAAATTATTAGTAACACATGCTTCTTGTTTCTTATCCCTCAACTGAAGTCATAATTATCTGCTTGTGATATTATAATTAGTTGCTATGACTATGATTTTGATGTCAGTACAGGACATCGGCTCTCTTCTTGCAGAAAAAAAAGGGGAGAAGGAAATATGCATATATATGTCAGGATCCCAACAAAGGCAGTCAGGACCAATGGTCAGAGTAGGGGCAAATCTGAGGCTGGGAGTCGTGGAGAAATTAGAATTGCCAATTTTTTAACTGCAGAAAACAGAACACCTTTGCCCCACCTCTGACCCGAGGCCACACTCACTCCACACACACACACACACACACATCTGTTGCTCTCTCTCCCCCACCCTCACTCACTCTCTCATTTTCACTAGGCTGGGGAAGGGGGTTGGCATGCAGGCTCCGGGGTGGGGCCAGGGCTGAGGGGTTTGGAGTGCGGGAAGGGGCTCAGGGCTGGTACAGGGGGTTGGGGTGTGGGAGGGGTGGCGGGCTTTGGGAGGGAGTTTGGGTGCAGGAGGGGGCTCAGTGCTGGGGGAGGGGTGCAGGCTCTGAGAGAGAGTTTGGGTGCGGGGGGAGTGCGGATTCCCAGAAGTGGCAGGCATGTCTCTCCGGCTCCTAGGTGCAGGGGAGGCCAGGGGGCTCTGCAGGCTGCCCCCATCTGCAGGCGCCGCTCCTGCAGCTCCCACTGGCCGTGGTTCCCGGCCATGGAAGCTGTGGAGCTGGAGCTCGGGGCAGCGCCTGTGCTGCAGGTGGGCAGTACACAGAGCCCCCCGGCCGCCCCTGCACGTAGGAGCTGGAGGGACATGCCGGCCGCTTCTGGAAGCCGCGTGGAGCCAGCCGCTGCAGCCAACAAGACTTTTAGCAGCCCAGTCAGCTGTGCTCACAGGAGCTGCCAGGGTCCCTATTCAACCAGGTGTTCTGGTCGAAAATCATACACCTGGCAACCCTAGGAGGAGTTCATAGTCAGGTTCCAGACCATCATCAAAACCAAAGATCAGACTCTGAGTCAGTTTTCAGGGTCTGGGGCAGGAGGTGAAGTCACGAATCAAGCTGAGGTCAAAGTCAAGAGCCGGAATGGTCATAGCAGCTACAGGAGATCCACATTGTTGCCTAAATTCTTCCTGGAGTGCCCTTTGGGTGTTTATAGGACAGAGAGCCAATCAGGACCTATGAGGCTGCTGCCTATGTCAGACCCCTTAACTGGGATGTCCTATGCTCTGTGCCTAAAGCATGTCATTAGCAGTGGAGTGCAAGCTAGTTACAGCAGCTGCTGGGTAAAAGCATGAAGATGCCAGCTACCTGGCTCTGCATAGATCATGGGGCCTTGCATATATCTCCCAACCTCCATACAGAGAGCATCAGCAGCAGTAGGTGGAGCTTACATGGAAAAAGTGGATTAAAAATGCCTCAGTGTCTGTATATGTTCACTGTGGACTGAGTCCTGAAATATTTATGCAAATAGCCCCACAGACATGGATGGGACTGCACAATTGTGTAAGGGGTGGCAGAATCAAGTCCTAAATCAGCATAGCAAAATGCCTTATTAACATTTGTTTTCAGAACAAGTTACTGACAATGTAAAGCAGCTAATTTTCAAAACAAAATACTGTACCAGAATGTTTGGATTTTTTCATCTAATCTGTAAAAGTAAAGCATGACCGATAAGCTTGGTTTTGGGAACAAAGATGTCTATGTGGAAGCGAAAAACCATGAAAATAAAGGTTTATGCTGGAATTTCTTAAAAACCCTTCACTATGGAGCTGTTATTTGGTCCTCTGTAACATAGCTTGGGAAGTTGCTCCTGGTAAATCTATTATTGTAACTAGTGATTAATAAATTATCTTTCCAGGCAAAATATATTAGTAGAAACAGTGCAAATACAGACTTCCCCAATCTTGCTCTTCATCGCAGACTCCTGCTTTCATATTTTGGACCAGTTTGGTCACTGGTGTAAATTAGTATAGCTCCACAGACTGCAGTAATGCTCTGCTCATTGACCCCAACTGACTGACCCCAAATTATTTTTGTATTGCATGGGTCTGCTTTTCTCCTTTTGAAATCAGTGAAAGTCTGACCATTATTTCAGTGGGAGGAGGAGGATGCCCTGTGTTTGTGCTATTTCTAACACATTTTGCCTTGAAGAACCATGTATCACTTTTGGCAAATGCAGATCAATTTAGATAAATATTGACAGAACTACTTAAAATGAATCCCAGCACAGCCTCCTTCTTTTTAGTACATTATGCTGTGAATTCAAGCAAACAAACATGAAATAAAACAAGTAATGCTGAAACGTTTGTTAAAAGGTAACACTATACACTGATTGGCCAAGTCTCTCTCATTAGTTTCCCTCATTAAAATTATTTTAGACAGGGTAGGAAATTCTTTGTGTTATTTTCAATACTTTAAAGTATATATTTAGATTATTTTTCCTATTAGTACTTTTATTCATCACATTTATTCATGCCTCAGCTACCTGTATTTTTAATCTTTGCAGTATAAGTGAAAAACTTTTAACAAAAGTGATTTTATTATACTAATTATACTAATTATTATTTACCTATTATATTATTAATTATTATTATTGTTATTATTATATATCCCAATCACAACAGAGGCCGCATTGTGCTACAAACCCATAGGAAGAGATAGTCCCTGCTGCAAGCAGTTTTACAGTCTATGAAACCCAGCCCTGCACACGCTTTGGGGAGTAATTTTACACCTCAGTAGTTGCAATGCCCATGTTTTGCCACGATCAGGGTTTATGGCAATTGCAGGAGTCCACTCCGGAAAAGTGGTTTGGGGGATTTTGAGGGGTGGGGATCAGAGACTTAACTGGATCCGGACTCCAATTTCATGATTGGACTCTCTCTGTAAAATAGGTCAAGAGGGGGGTCAGATCAGCTGGAGCAGCTAGGGCCACGGACCCTTTCCCGGAGACTTTACACCTCACTCCTTCCAGGGTCCAATCCAGTTCTCAGCGAAATCAGTGCCAGTCTTTCAATTAGCTTTCCCGGCGGTTGGATCCTGTAGCTTCCGGGCGCCGAACAGGCGTGGGGTGAAAGCGGGTTAGCGCCAGCCCCTGAGTCCCGTGCCTGGGCGCGGGGAGGAGCGTGCTGCTGACCAGGTGTCACGCCCCAGGGCTGAGCTCGCCCCGATCTCTGCCTGTCCCCCACCGGGCTCGCCGCCCCTCGCGGTGGCTTTGCCGTCTGCCTAGGGCAGGGCGGCTAGTAGGGGCTGCCCGTCCCCTCCCACTGTGCCAAGCCGCAGAGGCCGGCCCCGCCTCCCCTTCCCGCGGGGCTCGGAGTTGGCGCCCGGAGGCGGCGGGGCTGGCCCTGGACGCGGTGGGAGGAGGCTTCGAGCCCTAGGTTTGCACCTGAGCGAGGCTGGCAGCAGCGGGCGCTCGCTCGCTCCCTGGCTCTCTGTGCCAGGCTTCCCCCCTCCGCGGGGATCAGCGCAGCCTCTCGCCCGCTCTGCCTGTCGCGCTGGGGCTGCAGCGGCGGCGGCGGCCAGCGCGCCCCGCTCCTCGCCTCGCTCCGGGCGCCCTCCTGCCCGCGCAGCTGCTCTCTCTCCCCGGCGTCTCAGTTCATGGCACAGCGGGGCGGCCCCAGCTGCAGGAGCCCGGCCGACGGCTCGGCGTCAGGCGGGTAAGCGAGGGGCAGGTGCAGCCCGGGGAGCGGGGCTCCTCTGCGGGTAGGGCAGGGCGGATCGGGGCTTGCTGCTTGGGTGGTGCACGGGGAGTGAGGTTGGGGGGCGCATTGGGGTGTAGGTGTTTGAGGTGGTGCATGGGGCGGGAGGTTGGGGGCACGCGGGGTGTTTGGGGCGGCAGGTGGTAGTGAGGTTTGGGGGCAGGCGGGGTGTATTGGGGTTTGTTTGAGGTGGGAGTGAGGTTGGGGGCAGGCGGGGTGCATTGGGGTTTGTTTGGGGCGGTACGCGGGGAGTGAGGTTGGGGGCAGGCGGGGTGCATTGGGGTTTGTTTGAGGTGGGAGTGAGGTTGGGGGCAGGCGGGGTGCATTGGGGTTTGTTTGGGGCGGCAGGTGGGAGTGAGGTTGGGGGCAGGCGGGGTGCATTGGGGTTTGTTTGAGGTGGGAGTGAGATTGGGGTTTGTTTGGGGCGGTACGCGGGGAGTGAGGTTGGGGGCAGGCGGGGTGCATTGGGGTTTGTTTGAGGTGGGAGTGAGGTTGGGGGCAGGCGGGGTGCATTGGGGTTTGTTTGGGGCGGCAGGTGGGAGTGAGGTTGGGAAGTTGGGGGGCTCGTTTGGAGGAGGAGGTTTAGGAGCACGTTGGTGGCTATAATGGGGGTTGATATTGGGGATGGTAGCTGGGGAGTGAAGTTGGGGGGTCTCTGGAGGGGGCGGGGTGGGGGCACATGGGTGGGTAGGGGTTGACGTCCGGGTGGTGAATTGAAGTTGGGGGTCGGTAGGCTGGCGGTGTGGGGCAGGACATGAAGGATGCACGAGAGGTTCGTGGTTGAATTGGAAACTGGGGTTCGGGTAGGGGCAGGGGTGACGGTTGGGGGTGCGCGGCGAGGCGCCTTAGCGCTGAGGTTTGGGGGTCACCTGGGTGGGGTTGAGGCACTGGGCGGCAGGGGTCCGGTGTCGGCTCTGACTCAGGCAGACTGTGCCCAGGTGAGCGAGTGCGCCGGGCTCTGCAGCGCTCCGGGGGGCCGGGCACCGCACCCTCTGACGGGCACGGGGCGGGGGCGCTGCTGTGGGTGAGGGCAGCCGGGGACTCGGGGATTTCAGCCTGGCACCGGCAGGTTCGCTGAGCGCAGTCCTGAGCAGCCCCACAGCCACAGCCCGGCCCTGCACGAGGCTGAACCCAGGTATGCCCTGCGCTGGGCAGGGAAGGGAGTGAGCACCGAAGCGGCTGCTGGTTTTTGTCGGGGTCTCCTCCGGCGGCGCGGGTCCCTTCGGGAGGCTCTAGGCTCTCCCACCCCAGCTGGCCACGCTGCGCCCGTCCCCTTTCCGAGCCACTCGCATGTCAGCGGGGAATAGGGAAGAAAGGAGGAGGCACCTGGCCCGCTGGGGTTTGGAAGACACGCTAGGTTTTGGCCGGGGCTGATGTTTGTGGGCAGGCGGCAGGTGTTTTCTCGATAAACCCTCGTGGCCAGCTTCGTGACACCGGGGTGCAAAGCCGGACCCTCGCCATCGGGCCCCGGGGAGCTACACGGGTGGAGAAAGCAGAATAACCCAGCGCAGCGTTGTAGTGAGCAGCAGAATGGTTTCCTGTTCCTCCTGGCATCGACTCACCTGCTGAGCGTCATATTACCAAAATGGATCCAAGTAGGACAGAGCGAGCTACAGATCTGCCCACCCAAGATTGGATGAGAGTTTGGGGGGATTGAAGGGGGAGCTAATTATTATTAAACCCCACCTTGGCTTTTGGGGAAGGAGGTGAGCTGTTAGCTTCTAGTATATAGGGGACAGAATTAAGCTGTCACAACATGTCTGCATGGGACTTCAAAATTGAGGTACTAAAAGGTCTTGCTGAGAGACACTGCACAAAACAATCACTCAGAGGAAAATGCTTTTATAAGCCTTCTCTAAAGGTGTGCTGCGCACACACCCCTTACCACTCACCCAGACAAGACATCCACTCCCCAGAGGGGTGCAGCTTGGCAGATTTTTGTCTTCCATCCATTAGAAACAGTAGTAGACACTTAGCTGTGAAATATAACCAATCTGATCTCTGAATTTATTTTTTTTTTACATACACACACACACACATATATATAATGTGTGTGTGTAACATATGTCTTTTCCTGCTCTCCCTGTAGTGGAATAGTTTGAGGTTATCTTTAGCCAAACCTTGTGCCTCTTCCTTTTTAGGAGACACAGGGAGAGAGAACTATGAAGTCCTAATAATTTAATCCTCCCAGACTTTGTATATATCAGCTTTGAAGTGTTTGAGATCGCTGCAGTGGCCACCAAGAATCCAGCTGTGCTCCTCATTATTCCTACATAGGACAGCAGAAATTGCTCAGTTCATCGCACCTATCCAGTGAGATCGCTTGAAGTATATGCTCCCCAGTTATTTGACAGCATGGCTTAATGGAAAGGAAATGTGCCATTTGAGGTACTGTTTAATGCAGTGCATATAAGTAAATTGTGCCAGTGTTTTTCCCAGCGTTAGGAGGTCCTAAACTTAGTGGAATAAGATCTACTTTTGTGCCTGCTTTATTTGCACTTTTAAAACAAGTATGTATTCCACTTCCCTTGAAATTATACGGCATTTTGGTTAAATGCAGTTAGAATTCTTGACTTCAGATTCAATTTCACACTCCCTGTATTTAGCACACTGTTGTATCTGTTCCTTTGACATTAACCCTTTTTAATATGCCTGCATCTGCAGAATTAATTTTTCTTTTCAGGTAGGTCAGTAGCAAACAACAACGTGTTGACTGCAGTGGATTTGCACCAATTTAATACAGCAATATTTGTCTCTAAAGTTGCCATGATCTAGATACTGGAAAAAAGCTCCTTATAGTTTACCCATCTCATTGGCTGCACTCTTATCCACCTCCATTAGTCCTATTTCCAGAGAATGAGAGAGGGAAGATATCTGCCGTCTCATCTGGTCTTCTTTCGAGAGCCAATGCAGGATTGTTCCTTCGAGAAGCTAGTGCCTAGCGTATTGACTGGTTTAGCCAAGTATGGCAGTTCATTCTGCTCTGATCTTGAAGCGAAGCACTTAGTTACCACAGGGCCAGGTATGAAGGAGTCGAAGTCAGCTTGGAAGATGAATTGGAAAAGGTTGGATTTTTCTATATAATAGACTAGTAGCCAGAAACAGGGCCTGCAATTACAAATCAAGGTAGGAAACTACATGATGGGAGGGAATGCAAAAAAGGTTAGTTTTATTTTGTTTATTTCAAAATACAAAATGAGGGTGGGATTTGGGAACAGGGAAGGTGGATAGTAGTATTCTCTCAGGCTTGTAACTGTCTTGGAGTTTTTTGATGCAATAGCAAGTAATGGACAGTTAAAGCTCTGACATTTGTGAGCACTGTTTTGTGTTTTTTCTCCCTTTTTTGTTTCTGCATCAGAAAACCCCCTGTTTTACTTAAGGGGAAAAATAATGTCTTGAACGCTCTGAGTTAGACCTTTGTGTATTTTTGAAGGCTAGATGATGCAGTGGAGTAACTCCTCTTTTTTAGGAAAAAAATTAAATCTTGGCTCGGCACACAAGATTAAATATCCCACGCATCCCAAAATAATCAATCTTAGCACATAATATAAAAAGCTCCATCTCCAGTGTCCTATTTTCCTTCTAGCCGTATGAAGCGTTTGCTGTCTCTTTACCACTATAAAGGTTTGGCTTATTCCTTTGCATGAAAGATCAGACTGATCTCTTCTGGCCTTAAAGGGAAGAAGGGGGGAAGGAAATCTACAAAAGGGTGTTATATATATCACTAATCTATTTTAGCTTCTCCTACTTCATTGCTCACACTGAAACTAAGCCCTTCTTTAAAAAAGTACAGACTTGTGTTCATCATGATCAAACTAATTTGTATAAATTGTATTTAGCATTGTGAGCCCAGAAATATAGTAAAACTTCAGCCAAACACCAAGCAAGTCAGGCTTCCTTAACATGCACATTTACATATATTAATGTTTAGAGATTTCGCTAATTGTGAAGTCAAATATATATTTAAATTACGCTCGGAACTCTCTTAAGGCTTTCTGACAAAAGGCATTTTCCTGATAAACTTTAGACCATTTCAACCATACTGAAAACTAGACTAGACTAGCCTAGGCTTCCCATGGTATCATATTAGCTATAGGAGTTCTAAGACAAAGGTAGTTCCATTTGTGGTGCAGTAGTTTTCAAAAAATCATAGGTTTTGGCAAGTACCCAGTATAGCAGAGGGTTCAGAGAGAATTTCTTTTGCTCCAAGTTTTTTTCCTCTTCTATTGAGACACAGATGGGCATTTTTCTCGTATTACGAGTGGTAATCAAGAGTTTATGCCCCGGAGATTTCTCAGTAGTTCAAGCAGTGCACAGTATTGTTTCTTTTAATATACTCTCATCTTTGTACAATTCATTGCAAACACAGAGACTGCCAGGTACTTACAGCACAAAACTAGAATTTGAACGTTTTCTTACCAAGTGTTACTTAAAAGCTGTATTACATTGAATTTTTTAGTTGAAAACCAGAGAAAATATTCTTATGGATTTAGAACTCGCAGAGAGACAAGGCGTGGGATGAATCTCTTCCTGAGGAGGGTATGGGAAAAGTTTTGCTGTAGAGGGAACTATTACAGGAAAAGTTTTTCCTATGAAGAAACAAAAATGTTTTGTAAGACCGCTATTAGACAACTTAAAATATTTGCTTCTTTGCACTTTAAGAGCTCCCATTTCAGTGCTCATCATATGGCAGCTTCTGCTCGAAGTCCTGCAGATATATTGGGGAGTTTTCTTATAACTAGACCCAATATGCTTGCTGAAGTGTTTTGAACCCAGCATATAACAAACAAAATAGGGAGAACATATAAAGTCAGACATTTATTCTCTTTGTAGAAGAGATGTGTTCACACTGTAGAGAACTTATCCTTGCAATTCTTCAAAAATACTCAAACAAGTCTCACTCATTCTTAACCAGAACTGTCTTACACCGTCTATTTGTAAAGGCTACTTATAATTGGTTTTTAAAAATTGCTTGTGTTCCAGAGAACTAGTACTGCAAAGTTTACATTACTTCAGCTGGACATTGTCTCCGTATAAATAAGCCCATCTAGGACACTTAAGGATTGTGCAGCATGGATAGTTTCAAACCTTTTTAAATGGCAATGCAGTAATGTATGCCAGGTAACATACATCACAGTAGAGTTCAAGAGCGCAATTCATTACAAGAAGTCTGGCATCTAGGGTGTGTTGAAGTCTAAGTTCTGATCAGCTTACTGTGTGCAAATATCCAGCTGCTTTGGAGAGCCTGAGGCTCTCCTGGGGGGTTCCAGCCCTGGTCTCCTTCTAGAGGTAAGAAATTTGCATTAGAGATGAGCCTAAACTCTAGAAGAAGCATTCAGATCTGGTATTTTCATTCAGGCCCATCTCTTGTGCCAGATTGTGCCCCTTTAGTTGGTTGCACTGAGAGGTCCCTCAGGTGCAACTCTCCTACAAGGAAGAATGTGGGGGAGAATAGGAGACTCAGATGCCTTTGCAGCATCATACATTCTTCACTGCAGGACCTGGGGCTGCGTTTGTTTGTGGGTTAGGGATGGGAGAGGCAGGTAAGTCACAGTGAGTTCATAATTTTTGAACCACTACAAATTATGGCATCTGTATAAGACTACTATGGTGCAACAATGAGTCTCTTTCTCTTACAGTTTCTATTGGTGGGCTCTGAGAAGCATTTTCAGATTTACATAATTATTAAAATCTTATAATGTTGTTTAGAATTGTGTATGTGCCTAGTTTAAGAATGGTCTTCTATGTTCATGTTAAGGGGCCAGGTTCCAAGTACAATTGTTGAATTGAATTGTTGGTGTGTTTTTGTTTTGTTAAAAGAATTGCACAGAACTGGGAGTCAGGAGACCTGACTTCTGTTTCAAGCTCTGCTCCTGACTTACAAGTCACTGTGGTAGGATTTTCAAGAGTTAAACTGCTGACTCACTGAGTTTGAATTGAACTGGACACCTAACTCCCTTAGACTTCTTTGGAAGTCCCAGCCTATATCTTCTCAGTTTCTCGTTTTCCCACATGAGAAGTGAAGTGACTGTTTAAGACACATTTTTGGTCAGTAATAGTATTTAATATCTACATTAAAATGAAGTTAGTTCAAATCAGTTAAACTAGGTCTAGTTAAAATGCCTCTTGAGTGAGGATAAAATATATTAAAGATTGTGGAGCACTCAGATACTCCGGTAATGAGACCATATAAGTACCATAGATAGACAGATGTGCTTTAAAAAAAAACCCTCAATGCAATTCAGTGATTATGACAGCTCTCACCTCTTTCCTAGTTACATTTACAATGAAAAAAAGTTGTCCATTTATTTCTGAGCTAAAATCTTTTTCAAAGTTAATGATAACTGTGAAGACTGATTTGATTGTTCCACAATTAATCTTATTGAATAAATAATGTGACCACTATTTTGCTAATTAATCTGAGAAAATTGCAGAAGAGATCAAGAAAACGTAATTCAAATTTAAAATGTCTAGGTATATTCCTCAAAGCATCATTTAACAGTAAATGTATTTCTCACACCAACTCACTCATTTACATGTAGCAGATACAATACTAATGATACTGACAGTTAAATTTTTGTATTAATCTAGAATGCATAGTCATTCTGTGAAGTTGTGTGTGCTCTAAATGACTTGTGGAAACAGTGAAATAAATTTTTGAAGCAGGAAAGTAATTTGACAGAGTGGCTGTTAAGCTTACCTTCAAGAGCTTATTCTTGCCAAAACATTTTGCAGGTTTGAAAATTGCAAAGCTATATAGTGTATGTTAGCATCCTTATTTTTATATAAACTGCTGCAATTCTAATATACACACCAGTAATTTGGCTAATATTCACCTGAGGAGGGCATAAGAGGAGAAAGCTGAAGTAACAAACCAATGTATATGCAGTTTTTTTCATGGATATCACTTTGCCCATACAACAGATGTTTTGTTAAACTTGTATGGAATATTATGCACAAGTGCTACTGTCCATCATTGATATAAGATTCCAAGATTGACACTGAAGCCTAGAATGTCTGTAGAGCTAATGTGAAGTGATGGAAAAAGCTACAAGCATGGCCGAGAGCTCTTTTTGTTTAGAATATCACCAGGTTCAATTATCACTGGGATTCACAGTTTGATACTGTACAATTTTTAAGTTCTTGGCCATTTTCAGCTTTTTTTTTTTTTTTACACTTTACAAATTACACCCATATGACAGCATGAGCTTTCACCAAGTATTGTGCTGTTACTGCAACACAACAAAAATAAGTGATCCAGATAATGGTCAAATCATAACAAAGTCTTAACATACTGCATGCATTTAAAAAACAAACACAAATTATTCAGTAATCAAAAAGGAATATATTTTTAACTGCACAGCTGAGACTCTGTTAGTTGTGCATGTGTAAAGAAGACAAATACTACAAATAGTAAAAAAAAACAAAAAAAAACCCCAACCCTTTTTAACAAATGCAATTCAAGAATCCAATGGAATGACATTATGGAAAAACTACTATGAGGTCTCTTGATGCAAAGCTGTTTAATATCTGAAACAAGTGTTTCAAAAAGAAAAAAAAGAGACAAGAAAAGTCATTTTTGCTCCACAGAGGCTCAAGGGTCCACCTGTCTACCTGGTCAGGTCTAGCCTGCTCCAGTCCCTCAACCATTCCTATGACATACCCTTCCTAAGTAAAAGGACTTGGGTTAAAAAAAAAAGAAAAAAAAGCATGACTGGCATGAAACAATCCTTTCAGCCAGTTGATGGTTCTGTTTTTACTCACTATTTTCAGTAAAAGCATTGTTATCCAGCATGTTGTGGGAATGCCAGTTAATCAAAAATTCCGGTTAACTAAGAGTCCTACTTACCAATGGAATACCAATTTTCAAAAAGTAGAATACAATAAAATGAACAAAGTATAAAACAGTATACGAGTACTTGCCAATCCAGTAGTAGCACTGCACTGCAGAGTGGTTGGTTTCTTGAAGCACTTAGGTGTATACAGGTAAAGTTTTCTATACAATAGGTTACCTTATGACACTACATATTACTATGAGCAGTGCATGGCATACACCTAAATCACTAACAATACACTTAACACTAAAACTATACTGAGCATAATTTAATATTTGATTCAGAAGGCACTTCAGGATCTTGCAGTGCCTCAGGGTCATCATTATCAACATCAATTATCATTTTAGATGTAGATGGTGAGTAGATTGGGCTGAATCTGTAATGACCCTATGACACACCCTGGAAGCTGCTTTTTTGAATAAATTCCTGGTAGCAGCTTGCTTACTTATCTTCTGCTTCTTTTGCATAAAAGTAGAATGTAGACTGTGCAATTGCATAACCTGCTGGGCAGTATACTAGTCCTGGTCACTAGATTGAAGATTTGTATTGGGAGATATCAGTAATGCCAGTTAATAGAGCTTTCTGGTTGATAAAGTGTCGGATAACACAGCTTTTACTGTATATGAGACTCTGATGAACTGGTAGGCATAGTTCATAAGATAATAAAGTCAGTTTGGTTCACCGAAGTTTGAAGATAGCTAAATAATAGTTCCAGTGATAATTAGCGCACAGAACCCTTGGTTTACTGGTAACCTAGTTTACTTTCATGCGACTACACATGAGTAAGGGCTTGCACGATCAGGCTCTTTAACGTTAGCATAACTTACTGGAAAATACCAGGAGTTCAGCAGGAAAAAGGGCTGAACTGTTGTTTGAGGGGGTCCACAGGGAAACTCAGGCTTACTATTTATGGAGCTTGCCCACTTAAAACATACTGCTGTGGAATAAGTGGCTGTGCCCTTAATTACCTCAATCAAGATTTGATATTTTGTTGTTTTAGTATTCTGACCAGCAACTATCCACCTAAGCAGGTTGTTGCTGCAACATTTGCTCACGTTGCAACTAAATGTGGAGTTAGCATCATTAATTCAGGATATCTAGCATGCAGTTATCTATAGTGAAATCCCTATGGTTTACCCCCATCAGTGGGTGCCATATTTTTGGTATTATTTCTTAGCTGGTTTATATTGGCAAGAACAGAGTGGGATTGGGGGGGGGGGGGATAAAAGAAAGATTAAGGACACAAAGCCACATCGCTGCGTGATCAAACCTATGATGGGGCAAAGAGGGAAAGAAAGCTTACAGAGTTTCCCTATATCATACTTGTGAGTGATACATCACAAGACAGACTGTGGTACCCCCTCCACCATAGGACAGGTCATGGCTCTCCTCTCAATGTGCAAGAGGGCTGGTTTCCATGCTTCTATACCAGTTCTGGGCCCTGCACCCCTTCCCCCAACTACCTAGCAGAATAGCTGAATTGTAACCATTGTTGAAGCCACCAAGAGGATGTGTAAAGCTTGGGTAACCATTAGCAACAACAAAAGACAGCAAACCTCCCCAATTTGGGGTACAGTCAAGCCCTTTGTAAATTCAAGGAAAGCACTTTGAAAAGCCCTTTATTAACCAGAAACTATCACTAGTTCTTGTTTCAGAGAACTGACTTATTGTGAAGTCATCACTGGAATGTCTTTTCAGACTTCGAAGCATTTCCAGTACTTAGCCCCAATCTTTCAGGCAGGTGACCTGTAGCTCAGAGCTCCAGCTTTTTGGGCTGTTCAGTCCAGGCTGTCCCATGCGTAAAACCTTAGCATTTCACTACCCTAACAAGTCACAGCAATCAGATGCTTTCTCCTTGTGGCTTTAAACTCTGACTAGGATTAAACAACACTGGCAGCTGCCTAGATCCTTGTCTATGCTAGCCCACTGCTGTTTGGAATGATGGAAAATTTCAGCAGACCATCCTTGTATAGACAGGTATCGGGGTAGCCATGTTAGTCTGTATCCACAAAAACAACGAGGAGTCCGCTGGCACCTTAAAGACTAACATTTATTTGAGCATAAGCTTTCGTGGGTAAAAACCCCACTTCTTCAGATGCATGGACCATGCATCTGAAGAAGTGGGGTTTTTACCCATGAAAGCTTATTCTCAAATAAATGTTAGTCTTTAAGGTGCCAGCGGACTCCTTGTTCTTGTATAGACACCACCTGTGGCTAGCTCAAAAGATAACTGGCATAGCTAGCATTTCCACACCAAATCTGACATGATAAAACAGGCCAATCGGTATCTAAAATGAATCACAATGGGCAACAAAAGATAGGACCATATTTCTTAAATTAAAATGCAACCTGATAACAGCTTGTAAACAACCCATCCTGATTCTTAAGAGTATTAATTCTTAACTGGAGTATTTAAAATATTATAGAATCAGTACTTCTTGCTGAAAATTAACTTGTATACCATAATGTGTCTGTGGACTTTGCTAATCACCTCATGAAGTGACAGTCAGTAATATCCATGAAGTGTCTTCCTATGCCAGCATTTGACTGGGACTGATTATCACCACCAATACTTGTTCAACATTTTGCAAAAACTTTCAGAGTTAACGTAACATGCACAATCACAAGAAGATAAGCTCCAAAACTCAAAAGCATAGTGCACTAAATCTATAGTACATTTGTAATAGCCATCTTACCTCATTCCAGGATGAGGTTGTAGCCCTGATTCTGTTTCCCATATGTACTTCAGTTTCTCCTCTGCCTGGTCAGATGAGTTAATGTGTTTATGATCTGGCCCTCAGGGAAAATCAAATCCCTCCAATTCTAGGGCATAGAAGAGCTTCAGACAACAATCCAAACATAACTCCTAGTCTTTTAACTTGGGGTACATCTTCCTCTTCCCCATCATTGCAGGGGTTTGCCATCTTCTGTAGATAGCACCATTAGGGAGCCCACTCTATTCCAGTCTCCAGTCCAGGGAATCTGTGCACTGGATATCAACTGCACTTAAACTCCCCTACTTCACTTTTCCCCAAGTCATTTCCCACTCAGGCCTTGTCCCCCAGCCCTTTCTCACACTCTTTCTCCAGGTTTCCCCATAGCAAGACACCATACTCTCTCTAACTCTCCTGCTATTCTAGGCAACTTTTTTTTATTTAATAGTCTGACTTTCCCCAGCAGGCTCTGCTGCCAGGCTGCAGTCACCTGACCTCTCAAGGGACTACACTACAGTTCCCAGAATTCCCATCTTTAAAAGGCCAAAAATTGGAGCAGGGATGTTCTGGTCCAGGCCTACCCTTTTTCTTTCTGGGTTTGGTTCCAAGGCATTTATCACACTTGTAGTTACTGATATCAAATTTTCATGTTATACCAGTGCAAACCCATTGAAGTCATGTACATAAACGAAAAATTATCACACTTTAAAGGCATCTTAGATATCTGAGTCAAGAGAAAACTTTATAATGTTTCTGTCTCCAAATGGCAGGAAGATGTTTTCTCATGCAGTTCTTATATTTACTTGTCTTTGAAATGTTGGAGTCTACTCTTGGGAGAACTAGGAAGTTTGATCTGCTGCAGAACCAAGATGATATTTAACATAACAATGTAACTTTTAGCAGTGATATATTTGAGTATATATTAACATGTTTCTCTTTCTTTCCCTAGTGAGTGCTCTACTTGAGAAATACGTGCTCAATCAGCAAAAGGAACACAACTTTTCAAGACCGGTCTATGTGGAAATCACTCCACACCCCATTATCTGGTTGAGTGAAACCAGATTAAGAACTTCTGCCATGGCAGCTCTTCTACTAGGAACTTTGCTGCTTATTGTTCAACCTCATATAGTGCCTTCCAGACCAGCTGTAATTTCTAAGGTTGAGGCCACTTCTCAATCTGTTGAGAAAGAGCTTTTAAAAAAAACAATTCTCAAAAATGACTTCAAAAGAAACATTCATTTTAACGGATCTTGCCAGCAGCTACCACAAACTATCATTATTGGAGTAAGAAAAGGTGGAACAAGAGCCTTATTAGAGATGTTAAGTCTCCATCCAGATATTGCAGTGGCAGAAAGTGAAGTCCATTTCTTTGACTGGGAGGATCATTATGGAAATGGATTTCAGTGGTATATGAATCAAATGCCATTCTCTTATCCCCATCAGATCACAGTGGAAAAAACCCCAGCCTATTTCACATCACCCAAAGTGCCTGAAAGAGTTTATAACATGAACCAGTCAATAAGACTACTCCTTATTTTAAGAGACCCAAGTGAGAGAGTACTATCTGATTACACCCAAGTGTTTTATAATCATGTACAAAAGCACAAGCCGTATCCATCCATTGAAGAATTCCTGATTAAAGATGGTGAACTCAACGTGGACTACAAGGCAATAAACAGAAGCTTATATTACTTTCACATGCAAAACTGGTTGAAGTATTTTCCTCTTGATCGCATTCACATTGTAGATGGGGATAAATTAATCAAAGATCCTTTCCCAGAAATAGAGAAGGTAGAGAGGTTTCTAAGGTTGTCACCTCAAATAAATGCTTCAAACTTTTACTTCAATAAAACGAAAGGCTTCTATTGCCTAAGGGATAGTGGTAGGGAACGTTGTTTACATGAGTCAAAAGGAAGAGCACACCCTCATGTAGATTCTCATTTACTTGATAAACTGCATGAATATTTTCATGAACCTAATAGGAAATTCTTTGAGCTTGTTGGCAGAACATTTGACTGGCACTAATTTGTGGTAAGTTATTGATAAGCTTCAGAGCCTAAGTTTCAGTGTACGCTTAGAAATTATATTAAAAAGGGCATTTAAGCTATAATTTATTTGTAAAATCCATAAATACTTCTGTACAGTATTAGTTTCACAATTGCCATATAAACTAGTTATATTTTTCTACTTGTTAAATTTGAGGACATTTTGTATTGTTTTTCATGGTTGTTACATTGTGTATTACGTCTCTATATGAAGGAACTAAAATATTTCATTGCAGAAGATGCTTTCTTGAGATTGTGTTATCTGTTTAATATATAAGAAATTCATTTCAACGAAATCCCTCAGAATTATCTGAATCTTTGAAATATGGTATCTGGACTTTCTTTATTGTGAATGACCACATGAACTTTACACTTATCTTTCTGTTGTTTTTACTAGCTGCTTTAATTTTAAAATGTCGCTGTGGGCAGCAAAGTTCTCTAACCTGCTTTATACAATTAATTCTTACTAAAGTGGTACCTCACATACTTATTAGGACATGACATGTCAGGTACAATGAAATGCTTTGTAAACAGACATACCAACTACTGTACTTACCTTCATATTTAATTTCATAACTGGTGCCCCTGAAATTCTTTGGCAGTACAGTGCCAGTTTCATGGTAGATTTTAAAAGATTCTGTGGATACATGCTCATAAAAAACACTGTTGGATGCAGAAATACAGTCAACCTAAGAACTTCCTTTATTTTCTGCATGTATGTGTATATGTTCTTTATACTGAAAAATGGGAGTGAAGGGTTTAAGCAATATTGGTAAATTTTAAAGGTTGCTTATGATTTTTCCTAAATTCTATAGCATTTATTTCTGCTTCAGAATCACTGAAAACCAACACGCACTCATGAGACATTAGTTGGATTAACCTCTAGAAATTAATGGCCTTATTCTTATTTACATCAAGACTTTCCAAACACTGCTCTGGCTATATAAAGGTTCCAAAACTGAATGTAAATTACATTTGCACCCCTATTAAAGCCCCTTTTTTCCTACCGGAATGGTGCTTTTTGCTTTCCACTCTACACCAGGAAAAATCCACACCTCTGAGCGATGCAGTTAAACTGACCTAATCCCCACTATGGACAGAGCTTCTCCTGTTGACATAGCCTCTCGCAGAGCTGGAGTACCTACACTGACAGGAGAAGCCCTCCTGTTGGCATAAGTATCTGAAGCATGACTGCAGCGTTCTAAGTGTAGATCTGTCCTTACTGCAAATGTGAATCAGACCCATAGATTTTTCTTTTTCTCTCTCCTCCCTTCAAGAATCATGAGGTCACATATAGCTTCCATTCATGATTTACAAGGCTACACATCTAAGGCCTTTTTTGTATATTGGGATTAGCCCCTGCTTCAGCAATCCTTATGGCTCCCCCTCTGCTGGAAACAGTCCAATGCAAATAATGGCTTTCCTTGTCTACAGTAAGAATTTCCATGTATTATTGGCCATCAGTTGCTGAAATCAGAACAAATCCTGCATATAGACAAGGTCCAAAACAGTACTTCAGAATGTAAGCTCTTCAATTGTAATGGAGGGATCTGGCCCAAGGTCTAGAATATGCAGATAAAGTTTCACACTGAAACTGAATTTTCATTGAATTCTGGACAGATAAAAACAATACTTTATATGACTTAAATTTGCATACATTAGCCTTTGGTGGTGAGATGGAGGGTGGGTTCAGGACCAGGCTGTGTTAGGCAGGTATGGCTGCTCGTGTACTATCTTCTGGATGCAAACATCACATACAATTCTGCTTGCATGAAGATTTGTAGCTGCTTTTTTTCTCTCCATCCCTTGTGTAATTGACCAAGCTGGATTCAACCTCAGAGAGGCTTTTTTATTGATTGATTTAATTATTTTAAGTAAAAATTTGGAAAAAAAATACTTAAAATGAGGCAATATTGTACTGAATAAAAGATATTTTCTTTATTTCATTGGTCTTTTATTTGACAGTGTCAGCCTTAGAAGACCAAAATTTAGAATTTGACACCTGTTCAGCACCTGGTTAAATAACATTTAAGAATTTGTCAGTAGATTAGTGCATTCAGATTGAATGGATTTTTTTAGTATCACCAACGTGATTGAACTGCCAGCCACTGATCCAAGGGCTGCGGGGTTTGGGGCTTCTTTTATTTGGAGGTTGCTTGTTTAGGCTTTTTTGTAATAGGCACCCCTACTTCTGTGCTGTTGCTGGCGGCAGCACTGCCTTAAGAACTGAGTGCCTGGCCAGGAGTTGTTGCTCTCCGGCCACCAAGCTCTGAAGGCAGCACTGCTGCCAGCAGCAGCGCAGAAGTAAGAGTGGCAACACACCATACCATGCGAGGCTGGGAAGGTGGTGGCGGGAAGGTGGTGGCAGGAACCTGCCTTTGCTCCCCTGGGATCCCCTTCTCTGGGGAGGGGGTAGTAGGCAGGGTCCCCCCCATTGCTGCCCCTAGGAGAGCCCCCTGAATGGGGAGTGTCAGGCTGACCCTGGGGACAGTGCAGGATTCTGCCCCAGCCAGACACCCTCTTCCGTGTGGGCTCCACTGCCTGCAGCTCTCAGGGTAGCTTCCCCAGCTGGGCTTGAGGGCATGGAGGTTAACTGTATTTTTGGGGAGGAGGGGTGCCATGTGGGGACAGGGGTGATGCTGGGAGGGTGCGATAGGCCCTGAGACCTGTGACAGAGCAGTGCCTCTAACCAGAAAGTGGGATGGGGGGCCTGGCCAGTCCCTGCCCCTCCTCAGGGTGCTGCAAGGGGAGTAGAGTGGCCAGTTACACAGAGGCCCAGTCAGCCACCTTTGGGTCCGTGAGCCTGCTGCCCTTCTGAGCCACAACCATCTGGTAACCATCTATTACCAACTGGAACACATGCCACTACTCCAGCCTCTTCCATTCCCCTGCACTGCAGGAGGTGAGTCTCACTGGCGGGGGTCAGTTACCCAGCAAATGATCCCTGCCATCACCTCCCTTTCCCCAGCCTTGCACTCTCCCCTGCTCCTTGCTCACCACCTGGCTATCCCTTCATGTGCTAGCAGAGCTTACTGCTCACCCTGCTCATCCTCACCCAACCTTTGCAGTGTGAAGGGTGAGAGAGGCCTTGCGAAGTTGGTGTTGGCTGTTGACTTTTAGAAAGACAGAGACGTGTACATCATTTCCCGCCCAGTTAAACTCTGTTGCAAACATTTGAGTTTTTCCTTTCCAAGCAATCTCTCACTGTTCTTGCCCCTTTTGGTGTGTGCAGTGCTTAATTTGTGCCAGGACTCCTCTTTCATTACAAAGAAAGCACGGAAATGGGTTGGGCTTGTTTTGAAAGGCAGTGCCACTTTTTTTTTTTTCCTTGTGAGACTTGGCAACATTCATTCCTACCCATTACCTCTCTCTCTCACTGCAGGACCTCATGGAGGGTTCTCCATGGAGAACAAGATTCACATATGGGGACTGGGGGTATTAGGGAAGCATATTTTCTCCTCAGTCAGCATCAGCAATTATCCAGGAAAGGTAATACAGCTGTTGTTGGCTTTCCACAATACCCTTCAGTGGAGTCCAGCTTTTAAGGGGAGTCCTCGGGGACCCACAGAAAGTCCTGATTCCCTGGCCTTATTGGAGAAATGCTTCCAAGGAGTGGGGACAGAAGGGTGTTGGGGGCCCCAGAGCCAACATGAAGGAATCTTCCCTCCAGCTTAGCAAGAGCATTACCTGCTGCCACCGCTGCAGCTGTTAAGAACAATGGCCAAGAAAGAGTGTATTTTGTCAGGATAGTCACATGTATTTCACACTGAGGTGTAACAGTTTTGAGAGAACTAGTTAAATGCTGGCAGCAGGTCACCCCCTGCATTAGCTACAATTGGACACCTTCGGCAGGTCAAATGTTACTGTTTTCACCCATTTTGAAGCACAACACTTAGAATGGGGATTCTGGGGTGAATACTCACCTTTACAAAATCCTCATTCACGTTCCAAAAATATATTGCTGCAAAAATTTCTACTGGCAAAAACATCTTTGCAAAACGTGAACAAACAAGAGCTGCACCCCAACTTGGCTGAAGCAAATTCAAACTTTTAGTTAAGTGAATAGCCACGGCAAGGTTTTGAGTTATTTGGCCTGCTCTATTAAGAAGTAGCAGGATTTCCTGTGAACACCTTTCAAATGTTGAGCAATACAGCTGCTTCCTTTTGTAAAAATGCTGCAGTTGTAGGTGTAAAATACAGTCACGCTGGTATTTTCCTGGAGGACTGATTTCTTCAGGGTTCTCAGCCAAGTATATGGTCATTCCTTGGAAAGTACAAAATAATTTATAGCAACTTAAAGGAATCTGATATATTAGCCTTACCACTCCCTGTGACTGAAAGCAGAAATGATAATTATCCAAGCATGTCATTAGTCACGGTGGCATTGAAAGATTAAGCTCTGCCCTTTGATTCACTGTGCTTGCTGGTATATACACCTTAGAAAATCAGCTACGATACTTGCATGTACTGCACATACTGAATAAGAGAAGATGATTGAGTTTAAAACATAACAATGACCCCTTAAAGTCTGGAAGCTGGAACAAGATGATTAGGGTACATAAGACTCCCACTGGGGCAGGAGGGGGAATTCTCTGAGCAACAGCCCAGGTTCTTATGATTACATTTACTATAGCATTGTCACAGGTACAGCTGGTATTGCACAATTGTTCTAAATGTCTCGTCACATTTACTTGTTGCCCAGAAACAACATTGCTTTGGAAAGTTTCATAAAAAGCTGTGTAGGCATTTTCTGACTTGAGTGAGTTCGAGATTGGAGGAAAGGCAAGGCAGCATTATACCAGGACAGTCCCGTGGGCCGGATGTGGCCTGTGGGCTGTTTGCCCACCTCTGATCTACATCACACTTGGGGGGAAACGTATAACTGTGAAACAAGTTTAAATGATGTTTAAACTAAGTGTACTCAACTTGCTGTTCCATACATGCTAGCTGACGAATTCATGAGACACTGCCCCAAATTTTGTAAGCAAAATATTTATCATTTTAACCACATTCCTGGTCACTTGACTTTATTTCTCACTACATGTTCTCAATTAAATTGGAAGGCAAGTATCAATGCAAATATATTGGAAAGACCAGTCATGAGTGAAAAATCTGAAAACATTCTATTAGACTTAAAGGGCATTATATGAATATCTTGCTTGCCAAAAGAATGTGGAGACAATTTCTACCTTGTGCGGAACATTAGTTGAGGAAAAGCAATACTCTCTTTTCCTGCAACAATAACCCACCACCTTAAAATATTCAACTTCCCACCCATACAATAGTTGATTCAGCTTTAAAGTTAGTGCAATAAACTCAGACAGTGAGGATCCAGATTTTAAATAGATTCTAGGATAAATACAAAGTGCAAGTCAGGGTAGGGAGAAACAGATGGATGCATGAAAGTAGCTGGTCTTGTTGGCCTGAAAAGACCTAATCTCATTTAATTATAAAGGCTAAGAAAGTTTTGGCTTGGTTAGTACTTGGATACCACCTAGTGTTGTCTATGATAGCAGTGGCTACTATGAACGATGTTATCATTTTTTAACTACAGTTTAGTCATTGATTCTAGACTCTGTGCTCTGCCAAAACACAGTCTAAGGCCCTGATCCTGCCAGTTCTGCGTGGACAGACTTGTACACCTGGGAGGAGCTCTTTGCATGATCAGGACTGAACTCAGCAATGAATACAATTCAGACACATATGCCATGTGGAGAAGAGGCAATGGGTGAAATCCTGGCCCCATTGAAATCAATGACAATATTATCATTGACTTCAGTGGTGCCAGGATTCCACCCAATTAATTTAGAGTGAAGCAGTGCAGTAGCTTGTCATAGGGTTATGCTAACCAAGTTGGTGTCTTGCCTCCCTTTCTAATAATAATACATCAACAATAACATCATTAATCTGTACTCAGGCTGCCTTGAGCTGAACTGGTCAGCTCCCAAAAGCTGACCAAGGTTCAGACTCAGCTACACCTCCAAGAAAAAGAAGAGTCCTTGCAACATACATCTTTTGTTATATCCACTGCTATCATTACATCGTGTTATGGAGCCCACTCTTGCAGTTTTGATTGTACTTCACTTTACTCTCTCACCCTTTTAGTCTATGTCATTTTTCTGTAATTAAAAAGAACAAAGAAAAGGCATTTTTATGCCGAAGTTACAAGCCACATTCCTCTCTTACACCTGTGGAATACACTGACATCAATGTCATACTTGTTACTAAGAGCAGAATATTGTTGTGCTAATGTGTTATGCAGGAGAGTGTAATTAGACAAAATTCAAATTTATGGACCTGTCAGCTTGTATTACAGTAAAGACTATCATCATTTGCTTATGTAATCCACATGACTTCTGGGTGTGGTGTTCTGTCCCATCTAGTGGCAGAGACCACTTAAAAGAGAGAGAGATTAATGAGTTTGCTCTGCAGCCTTGGCTAAGAGCTAGTTCGCTTTTAGCTCATGTGGTAGAGGCTCATGCACTAAGCTCCAAAGGTCTTCGGATCAATCCTGCCAGCCAACGACCGGGATTTGTCGGCATTACATAGCAATGGGTAATAAGAATGGACATGCTGGGTCAGAGCAATGGTCCATCTAGCTCACTATCCTGTCTTCCAACAGCAGCCAGTGCCAGATCCGTCAGCGGGAATGACCAGAACAGGGCAATTTCAAATGATCCAGCCCCTGTTGTCCAATTTCAGTAACCCTGGAGTGTGTGGTTGCATCCTGATCATCTTGGCTAATAGCCATTGATGGACCTCTCCTCCATTAACTTACCTAATTATTTTCTGAACCCAGTTATACTCTTGGCCTACAGAACATCCCCTGGCAACAATTTTCACAGGTTGACTGCATGTTGGGTGAAGTGCTTTCTTTTGCTTGTTTTAAACCTGCTATCTATTAATTTCATTGGCTGACCCCTGGGTCCTGTGTTATGTGA